CATTTCAGACCCATGAAGATGAGGAAACAAATAGGAAAAACATATCGGGTCACATTACATACACATCCAACCCCAAAATACCTCGAAGGTGGAAATGCTTCCAAATCAAATACCCATTGGTATCAACACATATCATTGATACCTTTGTTGATGGTGATGGTTTCTCCTCTCTATAGTTGGGAATGGTCCATCTTGGCGGGTCTGAAATGATGTTCCCATAGCATTTGTGGTGAATATTTATGGTTTCGGGATGTGGTAAACCATTTCAGACCCATGAAGATGAGGAAACAAATAGGAAAAACATATCGGGTCACATTACATACACATCCAACCCCAAAATACCTCGAAGGTGGAAATGCTTCCAAATCAAATACCCATTGGTATCAACACATATCATTGATACCTTTGTTGATGGTGATGGTTTCTCCTCTGTATAGTTGGGAATGGTCCATCTTGATGGGTCGGAAATGATGTTCCCATAGCATTTGTGGTGAATACTTACGGTTTCAGGATCAGGCAAACCATTTCAGACCCATGAAGACGAGGAAAAGATAGGAAAAACATATTGGGACACATTACATACACATCCAACCCCAAAATACCTGGAAGGATGCGTCTTGTTAGGCTTACTGCCGGAGATGCCGGGAGCTGTTTGAAGGAACCAGGGGTCTAAAGTGAAGTTACCTCTCTGAGCCTTCCAGGATCATAGCTGTGTTATGTGCAAGTTCCCGGACCCCTAGGTAAGGTCTAGCATGGTTCCGTTATATTTCTGGAATCACCTAGGGATTATCATCCCAGACCCCACTTCAGACCCTAGATCCAGGGTCTACAATGAAGTTTCCTAGGGTCTGGGGATAGTAGTTGAGAGGATTCCAAAAAGGCACCAACCTCTGCTGTTCCAGTACGCAGCTAAATCTGTGTATGATTGAAGAAATGTGGCGCACGCATCCCTGGCAGAAACTTGCCTTGCTGGATTCATGAACAGTCTGTCGCCTGTGTAGCACAAGCGCTGAAAGTTGTCCAAGCCCTGCAGGCCTTCATAAGCCATCTGCAGTGGCTCAGTCATCTGCCATGGCATGGTGCCAATGAGGTCTAGCAGCCATTGTGCCAACAGAATGCAGTCGCTGGCCTTGCAACTGCTGTCAGGAAAGTCACGGTTCAACTTCCATTGGAGGTTCTCTGGTGTGAGCTCTTTCAGATCCCTCATGCTCTTGCCAACGCCAATTTCAATCAACCAAGAATCCATCAAACGGGTAGCAGCTTCCAAGCACCGGTCTTTTCTAAGGCCAGGTCCCGGCATGGGCGAAATCAATCCCAGAGGCCCACACAACATGCAGACCACAGATGCGCAAAAATTGCGCGCACAGCCATGGGGCACCATGTGCATAAGATCCCATTTGATGAATGATGGGTGGCTTCCTCCAGGCAGAATTGCAAAAGGCGAGCTGGACTTCCAGGGAACTGATTGAAAAACGGTTCTTCTCCAAGCAGCACTCCGCGCAAAATCTTCAAATGGAATGTTGGAGGTGTTGGCATGACACCAAGGGCAAATCTCAGTTCGGAGATGGCTTCTCAAACTGCCACAAACTTTGGTTTGAAATGGGTGGTCACCGGCCAAGCCCAAAAACACCAGTCTGAAGGTGCCAAACCTCGTAGGGATGCCTTGGTAGTAAGACTTGCAGGCTGACCTGGCGCATTCAGCCACAAGTCTGTCAATCACCTGATTCCCAGCAGCAGTGCCTTCATTGTAGCCTGAGTAGTACTTGTGAGGGCACGTGGTGACAAGGAACAACCTATCAGTTGCACCCAAACCAACCCTCAGAAGAGGTCCCCAAAGCAACTGGAGAACAGGTTTTCTCCGATGCCCTACACCCTCATCTCCATGCATGAGGCATGGCAAGCAGCGACACAACTCCTCAGGATCTGCATGGTCAAGGAAGACCGCGTGACCACCATCAACCTGCAGTGGCAAAACTACACCACTTAAGAGTGTGTGAAAATCTGGGAGGCCAAACCAACAAAGTACCAAAAAACAGGCCAGGGAAACAATGCCCAAAGTTTCTATTTCTACGGCATAAACGGGTGTCAGCTCGGAACTTTTCCCAAAAACCCAGGACTTCGGCTTTCCAGCTGGCATCATCTTTGATGTCACACCCAAGAAGCTTGTGAGAGTACTTGGAATTCAAAAGATACTTCGCCATATCCCAAATCTGCAAAACGGGGTGGTCATGGCTTCGGTGCACCTTTACCTTGTTCCTTCTCCGCCTCCCCTTCTTCCAAAAGGAATAGTTGACCTGCAGGGGACTTACTATCCACGCATGTTTTAACCAACATGAAAAATCACCAAAGGGACCAAACATAGATGTTTGCAGATATACCGATATACCCCCCAAATTTCTACAAGATGATCAGCCAGATATTTATTGCTATGGTTTTCCAATCTTATGGGGCCATACTTTATTGGGAAATTCAAAGCATATAGTTTTGCGGATTATCAGTCGTTCCTTTGTTTCTGTGATTTTCCTATCTTATTGGAACATACTTTTGGGAGATTCAAAATTATATTCAAAATTATATATCGTGTAAGCTTAGGGATGAATAGGCAATTATCTTTGCTATGGCTTCCCGGTCTGATGGGACAGTAATTTGTTGGGATATTCAAAACATGGAATAATCTTGAATATGATCACCCAATTCTTTGTTGTTATGGTTTCCTGATTTTGGGGAATATTTTTTTCGAAGGCAGATCTCAAGGATGATCAGCAAACTATTGGTTGCTATGCTTACCCTTACCCAATCCAATGGGATGATATTTAATTTGGTTGAAACACATGCATGTATAGTCTTACAGGTGATCAACTTATTTGTTATGGTTTTCTGTCCTTCTGGGACCATCTTTTTGAGGGTGAAAGTGGAATAAATTGAAGATGACCAATCACCCATGAGTTGCCATAGTTTTCCGATCTTATGGGACCGTAATTCATTGGTAAAATCACAGACCTAGGAAAAACTTGCGATTTCATAACCCACCGACCCCTTTGATGTAGGAGATAGGCACTCCCAAGAGAAATCATCTTCTGTCAAGATGATTTACCAAATCACGGTTTTTGTTGTTGGGGCGGTTTTCAGCTAGCTTCCCCAGCTCGTCCACATAGAACTTCTCATCGCACCACTTTGCGATCTTGCTCGTGTTCTTCGCTTGGTTGATGGCTGCAGAGGCTGAGGTAGCCTAGGGGTCAGAGAGTTGAACAAGCACCCCAGCCAACTTGGAATGGTCCCTGCCAAAGATTACCCACCACAATGATGATTACTTGGTGATATAAACACGTAGTCAAAACTCAAAACTAATAAGGGATCATAAATAAGGGCTCCCACACACCAATGATTGGTCAGTAAACTTTGGGGGGGACCCTGTGGACCCGATATTTTCTGAATTTCATTGAAGGGGTTTCCATATCTTCCCACTGGTGTTTCCACTGAGTGAAGGTTTCAATCATGTTCAATCCAGGGGGCAACATATGTTTTGAGGATATCATTGACAACATCTGGCATTGCATCTCCACCACCTGCGTGGGGCGGGCACGAAAATCAAGGTGTGAGTGTGTGGATCTTTAACTTAATGGTATGTATAGTATGCATGCAGCACAAGAACCAAGCAACAATGCTGCACTTCAAGCTGATGCAAGATGTTTCGCACCGCAGATTGCGCCATGTATACTTTGAAAGATCTCACGGAAAGCTAAATCAGGACTCTGCTAGGCAACAGTGATTCAGCAACAATGATCAAAAAAAAATACAGAGGAAATTGTTTCTATATGTTTGTGCCAGCCATGGTTCCACCGAGCCCTGACACTGCGAACCTTTGCAACTGGGTTTGAAGGTCATACCATACCAAAACATGCAGCAACTGGTGCGCTGCACCCAGCATCCTCCAACCCTTAAAGTTACACCCACAGGCGTTCAACCCAGAGGTTAGTCCTGAGGTGGCTGAGCCTCAGCCTTCGCCTTTGCTTTCGCCTTCGCTGCCGTCTTCACGAAGTAAGTCCTCGGGTCAAACATGTTCGGTGTAGCCATGAATGTTTTTCCACTTGGGTTGGTCCCCCAAAAAAGGCCCCCACAAGTCCCAAAATCTTTCATAAAATACAGGGAAAACACTTTTGTGGGGGCCTTTTTTGGTGAACCAACCCAAGTGGAAATTTACCAGCCATGAGGGAAAGGGCAAACTGTCGAGACATTAACCGTTGAAACATTTCACAGGGCATGTCATCAAGTTTCACCAATTATGAGATGCTGGTCAATATTATGAGTTCTAATAAGATTCTAATATTTATATATGTATTGTACTTGGTGCAAATGAGTGTCTTCACCTGCGCATGGGCATTGTTGAAGCGGATGCACCTGAGTTGACAAGTTTTGACATTCCCTCACCCTTACCCTCAATTTTCCAGGGGAAAATAATAACCTAGTTTCCCAATTTTTAGATTGCAAAGCTTGGGCACGCAGAGCGAATCTTCTCATTCACCTTGCCATAGGCTTTTTTCCTGGGCTAGTTTTTGGGGTATAAAGTCTGATTCACTCATACCCTGTGATACCCTGGTATGAATTTCACAGCATCTGCTCATACCTTTTTAAGCCTTGCAGAGGGGTCGAATGACTTGTTGGCAGGGGGTCTTGAAAATCCCATGAAAATGAGAAAATCTTGAAAGAAGATCCTATGCCAAGGTGATCAACCTGAACATGGTGAACAGAGACAGCGGGGAGACTTCACATGAGGCCAGAGGGTCGGCAACCGTAAGTTGGCAAGACTCTCCTTCCCCTGCACTGAGACTTCGATCTTGGAAACCTCGTTGAAGAGGTCGTTCAGTTCACCTCCAAGTGTGGGTAAGCCAAAATCCCAGAATATTGACATTTAAATCATTTTGAAGCCATACTTGTACTGTTGCCATGACATTGATACTCTTTGGGGCCCATAACCTCCAATTGTTGCCAACGCATCATAGTCAGACCTTGGATCTGAAACACCACAAGTTTAGGATTTCCACTAGCTGGGGAAGAACATGAAATGAAGCTTTGAACAAGAGTTGAAACCCACTGCAACCAAGAAGCTTGTAGTCAGCTGGGCTCACATTGTCCTTCTCCAAGCGTTCTTTCGTGGTTTTCAAAAGTGCCTTCCTGCTAAGGCATGCCCTTTTATATTGGCCTATGTATTCTGGGAGCGACTCATCCCCTTCAACATCAGGGTACTCCTCCAGTTTCTTTTTCTTGGGTCCGTTGTTCGGGGATGCACTCTGTTCATCTTCCCCTTCATCCAGCACATCTCCTAAGGAAAATTCCGAATCGAACAGGCCAATCTCACGCATCTCACTTTCTAGTTCTTTGATCTTCTCATCCCCAGCTTCCACATCATCCCTGGTTTGGACAAGAAACTTCAAAGCAGTCACATCGTAGATGCACTTCCTGGAAGGCAGCTGGACGCTGGAAGAAGACAGCTGGTGTTGGCGTTGCAGGTTGGGACAGTTGGGACAATGAGGAACATGAAAGAACATATATATATTGAGGGGAGATATCCATGCTGAAATCTCAACATGTGCAGTTTCCTTAGGCCCCACAACAATAGATACAATTTCAAACGGGCTCAGGGTGTCACAACCTTGAACAAATAAGTTGTCATTTTTTGTTTTTGCTCTAAACAGTGTGTGGTCGGTCAATCACACATGAACAATTTAAACATGATTAAGCCCGAAAAAAAATACCCCTTCAAGTGGTAACTGTTTGCCTCCTTTGCCACAGAATATGTTTTAATGTTCTCCACATTGTCATATCATGTATACGTATGCAACTTAAAGAACTTGAACTTGAAGCACGACAAAAAATCAGCAGCCCCAGTCTTGGTCATCTTTCGCTTCGTGCAATATTTGACGGCACCATCCACTTTTGACCTTTGACCAGGGTTGAACATTCAGCATGCACATGTCATCCTGAATTTTAGTACCATATGGAAACCATCATCGGATCATGTTTGTAGCCAAATGACTGGCTCCACTTCAGAACTGTTTTCATCTCTTCCTCCGTGTGCCATGAGTACCCTTGCAGGTTGCGACGCCACTGGCTGGTCTTTTGGCGAAGCGTGATCAAAGCCTGCAACTTCGCCTGCAATGGCCGACATCACAGGAGTGGAATGAAACTGAAAAAGGGGATCCACATTTTTTAGGCAGCATTATGGAAGATTTTTTTAGAGCAGGAAGACCCTCACAATTTACTATTATAGCTATAGGACATTTTTTGAAGAAACATTGGTTGTAATTTTGTGGGCAGCCCTATTCATCACCGAATGGGCCATAATGAGCCTTGTTCTTGTTGAAGTCATCAGCCGGGGCAAAGCATCGACATACAAAGTCCTTGAGCAACTGGTCCCGCTTGGCACCACCTTGCCGCAAAGGGGGATGTTGAAAAGAAACATAACTTTGAGTGGGTGACCAATGGTGATTTCTATATTTTGAAAACCCATATCATATGATATAATATTATAATAGTTCAAGATTATTGGGGTTAATGGGGGTGCCCTGTATGTCTTGGAAGGCAGCCTGCACCCTAACTGCAAACCAGACCTGAATGCCACTTGTCATAGATCTCTTTGTCAATGCCATCCGGTTTTCGACACATGCGGTAGAGGCAATGCCATGCTTGGGGGTGGGTAGAGCTTGTGAACCTCTGGTCGGAAACTGGCACCATAGGCCCATTCCCAGACACCTCACCCAAGTCACCAGTATTCTCTGAAGGGCGCCCAGCACTGGGAAGCGATGCCGGGCTCGGGGTAGAAATGGGCACAGCTGGTTTTTTCTGAGTTTGTTCCAACTTCTTTTTCAACAACTCTTTGGCTTTAGAACTTGGAGTACAGGGCGGTGGGTGCATTGGAGGGTCGTGATCAGCCGCAGCTTCAAGCTGCAGCTTCATCTGTCTGGTTTTCTCCCGCAAATCATCCAGACACTTTTGTTCATCTGAAACAAGAAGCATGCGTTCCTGGAGCTGTTCACTGGCAAGAGCAAGCTGTGTCTGCTGGTGTACCAAGTTTTCCTGTATGTCAAAAATTTCTTCATCGAGCTTGGCACGTTTGCCATTGTACTCTTTTTCCAACTCCTGCTCAGCTACTCGTTTCTTTTCGTGGATCTCTCGTGTGAAAGATTCCTCAAGTTCTAACATTTTCAGTTGCAACCGTTCCATCATTTCTTTCTCCAGTGTTTCCATGGTTGTATTGAACCCTGGCATGGGCCCTGCGACTGTCGGTGGCACCTCCCCTTCGCCTGGCACCTGCTTAGGCAAAGCTGGGTCTGGAAAGGCCTCATGTCCTTGTGGAGGCTCGGCAGGGGTGGCAGCCTCTGTGGTATCAAGAATGCTCCCACCAGCAGAGCCGCTCGAGTATCCTGAGACGGAAAGTTTTGGAGAAGACCCTTCTTCACATGCCAGGGGAAAACCCATCATTGGGATCAGGCAAATATTATCAAATACCATGCCTCATGATGTGGAGCCAACCATGGTACCTGACACAATCTCAATTATATAACACATTGTTCGTGGGATGTATGGGATTCCATGTTACAAACCAAAAGGGTAAACCAAAGTGGTACTCAAGAGCCGTGGAAAATCTTTCTGGGGCATTTTGGGGAACCTTTTGAAACCTTTTCAGGGCCCCAAAAAACATACCCAATAGGTCACCAACAATGGCCGCTTAAGCCTTTCAGCCTTTCTTTGATGTGATGTAAACCCGTCCACAAAGATTGTAGCAGTTTGCCATCCCAAGTACTGCATAATAATGCTATTGACAGTAAATGCTGCCCAGGGCTCCACGCTGCAACATATTGGCACTTTTCAAGATCTCAGCTTTCAACATCATACTTTCTGGGCTATCTGATAACCCCTTGATCAGCGCACTCGTCTCTGGGGAAAATATCGACTGTGGATCGTCAACCTCACACTTCACCTTAGATAATGTTGGCAAACAGGAAATGGCAAACCATGGACATATTTCACAATGGCAATCATGGTTCCATAGTAAATCAATAACAAGACACCCCTGAAGAGGAACGTTTTGGGGTAGAAGGCTGAGGCTGCTGTTGCAGCTGTTTGGCACCAGCAAGCAGGCTGTCACAAGACCCCGGCATGGTGCCCCCCTTTCTACCTTGAAGAAGGGCTACTAGGTTGCTGAGCCACTGCAACAGTGAATGGGGAGAAAACCGATCAAGCTAAACAATGATCTCTTTAAGAAACCAACCCTTTCAAATCCTCTCAATCTTTCCCACTTGATCCCACTTGGAATTTTGATGCCACACCCAGCAAGGCTTGGGGTGGAGAGCGCACCTTCCTTCGACGAAGAGGCCGCAGGGCTGAGCAAATTCTGGTTGGAACTGCCTGGCCACAAAATGCAGGCTGCAAGAACCCAAAAAAAGGCTGCAAGAACCCCAAAAAAATCTTACGCATTCTTACGCGTTCTTACGCGTATTTTTGGTTTTCTTAGCCGGATTCTTGGTTTTCTTACGCATTCTTGCGCGGCCATTTTTTGCCGAAGACTGCAAATTATTGGTTTGAGATCCACTATGGGAACAACAAATTGCTTTTGCAATCATAGTGCAATGGGAACATACCACTGCCTATTTGCAGGTGAATTTCCTTCTCTTTGCGCACCCCTCAACAGTTACACTGGCAAATTGTAAAGCATATGGTTTATTTTCGTTCAACATCAAGGGGGTGCTCAGAAGGGGCAGCTGGAAATCACAGCGGCTCTTCCAAGCCTTGAAACAAAAGGTGAAAATACTGATCGGGGCATCCCATGGATCGGTTGCAAGACATATACTTTACAACTGCTTCCATCTGAGCATCCTTCCAAAGATCAGATTGGGTCAGAGCACAAAGAAGCGTTGGTCCCGATGCTTCAGAAGGGTCCTGCTGCCAAGCCCCGGCGATTTAAATTCCAATGCCAGTGCTAGGAGGAGAATGAAATATAGTGAAATCCCAACATGTGCCTGATAATACATGGTCGTTAATTCGATTTATATTCATGGAAAATGAAAAACAATGAAGTTGTTTTACCTCAAGAATACATTTTATACCAACTGGTCATTCCCTACCCAATTTTTCCTGTGGGTTCCGCAGCGGCTTGCATCCACTAGGCAGCCGGTCATAGATAGAAGCAATTTTAGCTCCAAAGGCCGGGGTATAAGTCCTTGGCCAGTCCAGGGCTTAGAACTATAATCATTACACACAAAGGTTTTCAGGGATGTGGGCATAGTGAACTTTTTTTCTGGGAGGAAACCCTCTACAAGTAAGATTGACCTATGGGTGCACCTTTTTAAGGAGCTTTTTACACCCAAAAAGCACCCCAAAATTTAGGATAACTTTTAATGTAATGAATGTCCACCTTGAACACAACTGGTTCAAGTGAAACTTTTGTCCACGGGTTTTGTCTCTTTCCCCAAAAATTAAACTTGTTTGCTGTGGGTTCCAACCATGATTTTGGGGCAGTAAGTAAGGGGGAAAACAAAAAAATCAACTCAGATCAACTCAGTAGGTTATGATTGGGCTTATTCAATCTTGTTTGGAAATTGGTGGATGTTAGTGGTTGCTATTAAGATCAGGTGTGCCCCATTACATTATTTTTTGGGACCCATCAAGTACCCATGATTATACCCATGATCACACACGCACATATAATAGCACATCCACCACATCACAGCCAAAGGTCTGTGACGTCTTCAAGCGCTTCTTCACACCAGTAGATCTCTTCTGTCCACGCGAATCAAGAGAAGGCAGCGCCAAGGGGACAGCATCGGACCGTTGCGCCTCTTGCGGGGCAGGGTTGGATTGGACAATCTTTAAAACACTATAACTATACAACCTTAAAATGAAACCCTGGGTCACTGCATTTACAGAACCAATGGGGCTATTGATTGTTCAAACCATCTTATCAGTTCCAATCTTAGATACCCTGCAAAAAAAATCTTAGCTGGTGAGTAGATAATCCCATTGATATCAAAAGACTAAAGGATAAAAGTACCCATCTAAGATTGACCTATAGTTCTGTCTTACAATGCAGGTACCCCAACTGGTGTTGTCAATTAAGGGAGTTATTGTATCAAACATCTTGAACCAAGAATTGATTTTGGTGTCATTAGACACTAACGTGGCGATGACATTAGAAACTAATGTGGTGATAATATTTAAAATGTGGTTGATGGTTGGGCCACACATAATATCAACAATTTTAAGTAGGATGGATTTTGGTCCATATATATATGTATATATATATATAGCTAGTGAGGCTATTGTCAATACTGTATGGGCCATCTAATAAGCTTGGTTTTTGGGCCATGCGTCAATCATGGTGGGCTATATGAGCTATTGCAAAAACAGCTGTCTAGTCTAGTATATAATTTCTCCAGCAAACCATTCTCCTTAGTCAGCTTGCCAAGGCTGAGCTCTTGCGCCACTGAACTATTCGACCAAAGTGAAGTTCTTTTGCACGATGTAGAACCCCAGTGTTTCATCCATATTCCATGCCTGTACACCTAGGAGGCCAGACAGGCACTGCTTATCCCAAATGTTGTTGGTTTTTCTTGGGTGATTGTATTCCTTAGCCTATATTCCGGTGAGTAAAAAATACAAGATTCAAAACATGGTGACATGGTTTTACTACCAAGAATCCACGGCAATGTACTTGCAAAAGTATCGCCACTGTGGGAAATGGCGGAAATGCGACCCACGTGGCTGTTCCAGAATGAACACATGGCCCAATGCAGCCAGTAGCCAGCATATGATGATTGACCTGGGGGACAAGGTTTCAAGAAACCCAACACCAGGCTTTGTATTAAAGCATAGTATAATATAGTAAAATATATGTTTAATATAGTATAATATATAATATAGTATAATATAGTATAATACAGTATAATAGTATAATATATATATATATAATATAATATAGTATAATATAGATCAAAACCCACACGCCAATATGGGCACATAGAACCCAAAATCTTACTCCCTGAAACCATACTAAGGGGCCGAAGTGCAAGTAAGTTTCCCGCAGAAACAAAATCAACCGATGGGTCACCAAGTGGACATACAAATGATCTCTTTGACAAGGAGGACACTAGCCATCCCATAGAACTGCAAACAGGGGCCAGCAGTCCCAGAGATTGTGGCTCCAGTCGCAGCACGGCCAGGATCGCTAACCTCAGATGCATATGGAGGAGGGCTGGGGATGGGAATGTGGAGCACAAATCAAATATATAAACCAACTTATATTAAGATTTTGATGTGGAAATCAAATATCAATAGTGTAATTTATGACTTAATACCTATCATGTTGCTGAAAAGAACATCACCGTAAACAGTGTGGGGGGCAACAAATCCCAACATGTTCCACAAGTTACAGCTGAAAAAACGCCATTCCAGCAGGTGTTGTTAGATCCATTGCTCTCCCACCATAGATGTAGTCACAGCTCACTCCAGGAAGGGATCGCTCCAAGCATGCTTTGGAGACATTGGCTTCTCCAGCAAACATCTCAACGAAGCGCCATACCTTACAGCTACACATCTGGGGGAGACAAATAGTTCTTGAGATGGGGCAAAGAAATCTATACCACCTCACAGTTTTTTTTTTCAAAAGATGGGTGCTTAAAACAACCATGATACTCGAGAGACTTCCAAGTTGTATGACCAGAGGAGCATCAATGCCACAGAAACCACCGCCTGGT